AAACATATATTATATAGATGTAAATGCACACTCCCAAAGCCCATACATATACATAAAAAAATGTTATTCATTCATGGGTGTTTATTAAACCTAGGTTTAACTAACTGCAATTACATTTGGTTTATTACCAGACACAATTTTGCACTAGTTTTAACCTTAAATAAGAAATGAATGATCTGCAGCCCTAGTCCTATCTTGCTTTGCCCATACCATTGAATATTGGCAGTGTTGGTGCACTTTTCCCTTCTCTTCCCTTTGTATTGGGAAAGCGTAAAATATAGCATGAACTTTAAATTTTACTTAATTATATATACAGAAAGGGAGAGACAAAGTCCTGGCCTCATCTACATGTTTATCCTTGGTAAACTGGTTTGCATAATTGGCTTGCCAGCCCACTCCTTCTTTTAAATATTAAACAACTTGGGACAAGGTTACATCATAAGCTACCTTCTTCCATATACACATTCTATATATTCTTGAGAAGAGCCTCCAATACTTTGCTTTGCCCCCATCAGTAAGGTTACTGCTTAGGAGAAAATCTTTATGGTAATGATATTCCAGTTATTGTCCCAAAGGTGCTTTTTCAAGAGGCAACTGGACTTTCTGGTTTTTCTTTGAAGACCAGAGCTGAAGAAGTTTCTTGGATGAGAAATGAAACGTCTTCAAAGAAAAACCAGAAACTCCGGTTGCCTCTTGAAAAAGCATCTTTGGGACAATTGAGAATCTCCATAGATATTCCAGCTATTGAACAACTCCCAGGAAAGTCTGCTTCATGCTGCCTTTATACTCTTTTTCAAAATCAAATGAAGGCCATTGTGTACAAATTCAATAAATGCACACATCTCAATGTATCTGCTAAGATTTCTCAACTGTCCCAGGATTCTAGAATTAATGTTACTTTTATACACGATGATCCGTGGCCATAATTATATGTCTACAGGAAGAATTAAGTAATTCTTCTATATGGAAGCATAGCTTTGATTAACACCAATTGTTCCAATAAAAATGCATGTTGAGAATATTATTAATACTTTTATTGTAGCCTTTTTTTTTTAACATACTGACTAGAACGCCAGAGTTCAGATAAGTTGGATGCTGGTATAAAAATAATCCAATTTTTAGAAATTATACTTTAGAAACTACATTACTGTATAATTAGTGAAGATTGCAAATAAGATACGTTTTTAAATAACAGTGTGGGAAAATTAAAATAACCAAAACAAGTCAGAAGATATGTTCACAAATATGCAAAGTTGAACAATGTACAATACAATAATTACAACTCATTGATGGTCAGTAATTCAGAGTCATCATGGAGAAAAACACAAGGCATGATTTATCTTTGACGGCATCATATGCAGCTTTGAGCATGGCCTAATAAAAATGACAAATGTAAATTTTATAACAAAACAAAAAGACATAGAAGATTTCATGTAAAATTAACATTAGGTTCAAACTTTTCACATACTCGCGAGTTAAAATTTTAACAAGTGATATAAGATATTACACGCTTCTCTGGAGAACTTTCTGTGAAGCAAACTAATTTCATAGAAATCAGTGCTTATTATTTTCTTGCAAAAATATCTAATTTATATATTTCACAAAGAAAAGCAAGACTAGGCAGTTTTTAATGCAACTGAAATAAGGAAGGTCAGCATAGTTGATCACCCCTGAATTAATGTGCCCATACTTATAGATATTTATGTTATCATAGGAAGGAAGGCCTCCGGGGGGAAAATGTTTGGTCTGGTAGAAATTATTTCACGTAAGTACATATATTCATAACAAATATTTTCTCAAAATAGTCAAGCTTGCCCTTCGTAAAAAGTAAATAAATAAAAACCCAATTAAGATTTTTAAAATATCAGTTTCAGCATGCTGATATTAAACAATGATGATTCAAGACAATCACCTGGAAAGATCCAATTATTTCATCTAAATAAATTAATAACTACTTTGGCTCCCCTTTATGCAAGGAAGGGGTGTTTTTTTGTTGCTTGGCAACAAAATTAAATTCCACAGAGCTTTCACTGTTATCATCTGAATACATCTGCTGTGGAAATGTGTGCCTATTTATGACAAGTTAAGAAATTGTGATGGTTGCCCCCAAGGAAATACTGAGAATGATGGTTGGCCAAAATTTTAAGAATTCACTATATGAAATCTGTCCAATCTAGTACAAAACCTCATTCTCCAGGATATCTAATGGCAGGATTCAATAGGCTGAGGGATATAATTGATAGGATTAAATTAAGGAATTAGATATTTTGTTTAAACTTGTGGTTTAAATTGATGATGTAAGAAACAGTTCAGTTGTTTAAAGTAAGGGAATGACACATTTGTTGGAAAGTGAACATAAACCACAGTTGTTTTTTTGCTGTCTAAAAACAAAGGCATACTTGAGACATTTTGACCCGCCATTTTGTTTGTGCACCTATTAAATAGATGGTTAGTAAGGGCAGTGTTGCTAGCTCATGGCAGGTAGTACTGACCGTCTCTTTGGGTGTATATGTGCAATCTTGATGCCGCACAAATACAATTTGACTGCATGCTGGAAGCTCCCCACCCTACTCCTTCGGCCCCAAGTTATTTTGTGTTGGATCCAGGAGTTCACATTTATACTTCCTCATTTATACTCCTTATCAAGCAGGATCAGAATAACAGTGTTGGAAGGGACCTTGGAGGTCTTCTAGTCCAATCAGCTTTGGGGGGGAAAATCTTCACATAATGGAGGGCTTTCTACAGTCTTACGTTCATCACCCAGGAAATCCCAATATAGAAGGCAACAATCTGAACAGCAGAGTAGTTAAATATCGTTAACAGCTGTTATCACATTGTTCCTACATCATTTCATAAATGGAGAAGTTACAGACTGAAACAAAATGGAAGAGACTGCTTAGTACAGTTTTTCCCAACCTGGTGTGTTCCAGGTGTTTTAAGAAAATAACCTTCTATTATAGTCTCTGCATAGGTTGGGGAAAAACTACTTCATTCACTGATTGCATATATGCTATCAAGTCAGTGCTAATCCTTAGTGACCTTGTAGATTAGAATTTCTCCAAGATGAACTGTCCCTAACTTAGTCCTTCAAGTCTTCCAGTAGTGCACCCATTCCTGACTCCATCTACCTTGCTATAGGTTGCCCTCTTCTCTTTCCTTCCACCTTTCCCATCATTAGAACCTGCTTAGTCTATAAATAGAAGAGGGCCAATATATGTTTAGAAGCACAGATGTGGCTGCTTTAGTTTTATCTTAGCCTCTTGAAATGATCAATTTCCCCAGAAATACCTTGGATAATTGTTATAATTTCTGGATTTCCAACATTATGGCCAGAAACAACATTGTACATTCTGATGCCCACGAAGCTTTCTTCCCTATTTTTTTTTCCTTCTGGATTTGAGTTTGAAACAATGACTGTAAAGCTAGTCTGCTCTAAAGCAAAGTAGCACTCTACAAAACCTATATTTCTGACAATGTGTCAGATGCCAGAGGCATTCTTAATAAACAAATTGGTGAACGGAAGTACCTCATTGCCTTGCCTTTTGTCTAAATGAGTATTTTATTACTAGGCACTTGCTATTTCGTGGGTGCCATAGTACACCCCAAAATATCAGCACTGCTCAACTGTCTGTTCCTCTGATTACAGAATTAGGTATAACCATAGAGGATAGTTCCAGGCACTTCAGAGTTTATTCTATTTTGAATAGCCAATCCTGGAGGCAAACTGGATGTGGCAGCCTCTATCATGCATGTTTTCTTCTGCATCATTGCATATCTTTGTGTACCATTTTGTGCAGTGTTTCAGATAGGCAGGGGTGGGATACGACAGGGTTAACTACCAGTTCGGGATTTACGAGCTTCCCTGCCCGCTGTGAGCTGCGCGCCTGTTAATCGTCATTAGCAGCCTTTGAAACAGCCCTCTTTTCTTGTTTTTTTAACTGCAGCTGTGCCTCCTTCGGCAGCTGAAGTTGAAAGACATAAGACATAAGAATTTATTTGTCATTACACTCGCTAGCGGGTGCAACGAAATGAGGTGCTCTTCCACAAAGTAAAACTGGACAAACACCACTAAAAGAAAAAAAAATTGAACTAAACACAATCAGGAAATAAAGACCAGGTAAGAGCCCGGGTAGGTGGGTGGGCAAAAACATCAGCAGACATAGTACCGGTTCTATGTCTGCTGCTCTTCAAAGCTAACGGTTCTACAGAGGTGGACAGAACTGGTAGAAATCCACCCCTGCAGATAGGGAACTACTGTACAAGGTAAGCACAGTCTGCTGCATTGTGACTCTGAAGGGCCAAGATTGAATTGATCACATGGTCTTCGGTTCCATTCGCTCACATTCTGTACTCTTCTAATACAAATGAATAATCTGCGCATTCGGTCCTTCGCCATTCATGAACTTTCATGATTAAGCTCAAATTCCACTCAAACATACCTATCAACTTGCCACACCTGGACAAAGATCACTTTTCAGAATAGCACTTATTTAGAACAAATAGCAAAGTTCCCCAAAGTTTTTTTTTTTAAATAAATAAATAAGGAAATGTTACAAAGAAGTCTAGGACCAATTAAGTAATACACAGTATGAGATTAAGCTGCCTTGCGTTATTTCTGCTTGTACATTTTGTGCATTTACTATTGTCAAATGATGTAGGAGCAACTTTGCATACCTGGAAAACCTTCACCAGAATCTGGACAATGTAATCTATTAGAGAAGATTGCATTACATGCAGATGACCTATACCCTCATCCCAAAAATGCTTTTTCTAAAAAGCAACTGGACTTTCTTGGGTTTTTTTCTTTGAAAACATTTCGCTTCTGATCCAAGAAGCTTCTTCAGTTCTAACTGAAGTTAGAACTTCTTCGGTTAGAATTGAAGAAGCTTCGTGGATGAGAAGTGAAAGGTTTTCAAAGAAAAAACCAAGGAAGTCCAGTTGCCTTTTGGAAAAAGCACCTTTGGGACAACTATGACCTGGATAATTGAGAATCTCCATAGACAGCCTTATACCCTCAATACATTTAGACAGAAAGGAGGGAAAAAAATCCACAGAACATAATTAAACGTAACTTTTTTGCATCTGGTCTGAAGCACATAGGAAAAAATGAATAAGGCAGGGGTCTGTAACCTTAAACACTCAAAGAGCCATTTGGACCTGTTTCCCACACAAAAGAAAACACCGGGAGCCAATAATTTAACCACCGGTGTGACTGGGTGGGCGTGGCCAACTCGATGTCACTCACTTCCACCCAGTCAACTCCTGCTCTGGGATATGGAGCAAGTCTCCATCTCCCGCCATCACCCTTACCTTCTCAGGGCAGGCGAGAAGTAATGGGGAGGGGAGGGGCCAGCCAGTGGTGGGATCAGCCGATAGGGAGCTTCAGCAGAGGGCTGAAAGAGCCGCAGGTGGCTCCAGAGCTGCAGGTTGCAGACCCCTGGAATAAGGGCAAAGAGTCAAGTATCACTACTACCTAGGCCATAACTAAATAACAGGACAGATCATGGGGGAATCACTTTTTTTTTCCTTTTTGGAGAGGGATAAAACCCCACCTTGGATTCTGCATAGGATCCCTATATTGCTAGGCCATGTTCCCGTACCCATCTCCACCACTCGGTGAGCAACATGCTGTGAGTACCTCCTAGTAGACACCTGGCCACAGAGCAAGGGTTCGTTCCATAACATTCATAACATTCAAGCCAGCTTTGCATAAAAAAAACATGGGCAACACAAACCTGGCACACTAGATACTATCTGTAAACACAACACACCCTAATGGCATCAGATTTAGCGTGTCATCCACAGTGTTTTGTTAGTTTTGCTTTCACGATCTATTATTACGTTCACATTATGTGACACAGTTAGTGGTGAGAAAAATATGCAGAATGAGCTTCTTTCTTGTCTTTCCAACAACCAGACGTATGGAACTTGCTTTCCACACCTGCCTTCTTTTCGCTGCTCAGCAAGAGCTGGAGATGGCTCCTTGTGCGCAGCTCCTTCTGAGGTTTTCCACAGGTTCAAAGTCCCCTTCTGTACACAGTTGTGACCGAGTTGTTGCCTGACGACTGCATACTCGAGAACACGCTGCATACAAAGGTCCCATTTGTCACCCAACTGCCTTTTTTCACCTGCGTTAAAAATAATCTCTTCTTCTGCTATCATCGCTAATGAAGGATGGGTTATATTGTCCAGGATATATACAGGAGTGTCGAGATCCCGGAAGACCTGTGTAAGGCGGATAGATTCCATTTCTTTCTAGTTCAGGATTCCTTAGATTAGTTGGCTAAAGGAGAGAGATTTACACAGAAAAGAAGGAAAGAATAATTCAACACTTGCCAGTTTTTTACATGGACAGAGCTAAATATTGCACAAATGGGAGTTTCTCTGGCAGGCACTTTTCTCCCCAAGCCTTTCCTTAACTTTCGGCTTCACATACTGCTAGAAACAGAGGGGATTATACCTCTTCACCATTCTTCTATTGGAAGCCATTCAATGATAATGAAGATTGCATTCCAATCCCATAGGATTTAAATATTAATATACAGTAAGAGGAAAACATCATAGTGTCCAAAACAAAAGAGGATAAAGTGGTTAAAGAAACAAGATAAATCCATGCATATGAAATCAATACGATAGTATTCTTTTCTTTATTATCTAACTTAGTTAAACGCCTTTGGGAATTCAATAACGCAAAAGAAATACATTCCCAATCAATTATCAACAACTTCGCAACTCATTTAGAAGTATTTTATAATACTTTAAACAAAGTATTTTAAAATAAGTATTTTCTTCTGGTATTTTCATATAAAGAAGTGAATTCTAATAGATTTTAGACAGAAGCAGTGGGTTCCTACAGCCTGAAAATACAGGTAGTCCTTGACTTATTGCTGAGCAAGGCAGGTGAGTTTTGCCCCACTGTATGACTTTTTTTCTTTGCCACAGTTGTTAAGCGAATCATTTCAGTTGCTAAGTGAGTCATGCAATCATTAAGTGAGCCTGGCTTCCCCCATTGATTTTGTTTATCAGAAGTCGCCTGGGAAGTTTATACATGGTGATCACATGAACCCTGGCAGAGTGCAACTGTCATAGCACCCAAATGTTGATCACATGACCATGGGGAAGTTGCACCAGTCTTAAGGGGGAATACCACTCATAAGTCACTTTTTTTCAGTTCTGTTGTAACTTCGAATGGACACTAAATGAATGGTTGTTAAGTCGAGGACAACCTATATTTGAACATTATTGAAGAAGTTATCATAGCCACCAATCCAAGGGAGTTATGAAATACTGTAATATGAACAATCTCATAGCCTTCATTTTATTCATTGTTCAGTGACCGTTTGCTGAATTTTCATTTTGTGTTAAACAATTGATAAGAGAATCCTGCTTTTTTATTCTTACGCCTCTCTGAATGATTGCAAAGTGCCTATCTTTCCTAGACATTCATTCAATGTAGGAAAATATACCATATAGTAAACATCCGTCATCTGTAATAGGTTTTTAGTACTCCCGTTCTCTTGCATTTCAATGGTTTCTCTGCTCCAGTCCTGAACACGAGGGTTTTTGGGATATTCTGCATATGGTGACATTTGGAAGTCACCGCTTTTGAAGATGAGTTTGCTTATATCATTTTTATTCTTTCTGAAAAGAAAAATACATTTATCTGCAGGCTAAATAGTGTGAAGTGAAAAACGTCCCAACTTAAACATACATTGGTAGAGCTGTGGAGGCACAGTGTTTAGAATGCAGTATTGCAGGCTGACTCTGCTGACTGCCAGTAGTTCGATCCTGACTGGCTCATGGTTGATTCAGCCTTCCATCCTTCTGAAGTGGGTAAAATGAGGACCCAGATTGTTGAGGCCAATATGCTACTCTGTAAATCGCTTAGGGTGGGCTGTAAAAGCACTGTGAAGCAGTATATAAGGCTAAGTACTATGCTAGAGGATTATGAATGATTATTTTCTCTTAGCCTACTCTACCAATCATGGAATTGTGGCTAGCATATAAATACATTGTTTGGACAGAAGGCAGGAAAACAAGAATATCCAACTCTCTTCTTTAACAACATGAAATAAATAATCTCAAAAAATAATTTCCTCTACTCAGTATTGGAACATCTGCTTGTTATCGCCTGCACAAGCTTCACAACATGGCTGAAACTGTCTTCTGTCAGCTTGGACCTTCCTGATGTTTGCAAAGCTAACTATTGTTTAAGCAGGCAAAACAAATTGATCAATAAAGATATAATCCATAGGAATCTTTTCAAAAATTAAAAACTGCTTTTATTTCTCATTAATGTTATTTAAATAGTTTAAAAATGTCAAAGGATGAGACATTTATGGTACTTACTGGCAGCATGTGACTATGAGAGCTATTCCCATGATAAGCAGAAGTCCTCCTCCAGCTGCTGCAATCACAATGGTGATAAGCTGGTATGCTAAAACAAAGAAGAGGCCATTTTAAGCACCATTGATTTTTTTTTT